ATATGACATAATCCAAAATTGAAACAAATACCCAATCAACCTATACTTGGCCGTAGGTGTAGTCAAAGCACCCAAGTTAGCCTGATTAAATCCAATACTACTCCCACCCCTACCACCAAAAATGTGCCGGATCTACATGGGTGCGGCAGGGATTTTATAGGAGGTAAGCAACATAACAAATTTGCAGTGTATACCTTGTAAACTGGTCCAAATCCACCCTCTCCAATCTTGTCGTTGATTGAAAAGTTATTTGTGGCTCTTGTTATTTTCGACAATTGGAACAGTGGCAGCTCAAAATCTTCTTTGAGATTCAGTTTCTTCTTCTTTTTCCATTTGTACAGCAAAATCAGGCATAGTAGAATCATTGCCATCAACAAAGAGAAACTCACTGCGAGTATCTCTGCTTTCTTTCTATTTGAACCTGCGACAGAAACTACAACCAAGTTTTCCTATCAGCCACTGCAAATTGAGATGGGCCACTATTGACTATTGTTGCATAATATGGTTTCCATATGTTGAAAAACTAAGTTTAAAGCACATCATTGAAAATTCTATAAACATAAGTTCTTACCTTGCTCTGAAGAATCCATCCTGATATAAATGTCTTGCCCTCTTCCAGACAGCTTTCTGATGTCAGTCAACTCCCCAAACCAAAACAAGCAACCTTTGTCTCCGTTGCTTATATCTAAACTCGAATAAGCTGTGCAAGAGCAGTTCTTCAAGCATACTTGCCTACAACCTTCGAGTGTCATGGTCTTATCATACTGAGAGTACTTAGTATCCGGCAACTTGATTCCTGAATATCTTAGAAATACATGTTCCTTGTTGCAATCAAGAGGTGTCCTCCGAACACACCCTTCTGACCAATCTCCATTTTCCCATTGTTGTGGATATTTAGCTACGAACTTTTCCAAACATCCACAAACAGGGGAATTATCTATGTCACAGCTCCCATAGGCACCACATAAGCTATATGTATCACAAGTATCCGAAGGTAACTTGAGGTAAATATGCCAACTCTTGGTCCGATCCACCCATGTTAAGCTTTGTATATCACCATTGCTAGTTAGGACTATTCTTGTTAACCAGTTGTTAGTGAGGAAAAAACTATAGTAAATCACCTCCTTATTAAAAACAACTTTAATTGTACTAGAGTTGCTTGGTTTTTGTATGTATATAGGTGCCCAACTCCAATATAAACCATTCCACGGGCCTGAGCGAGCTGATACATTCGTGCCACGTTTGAGGAGGACCTGTGGATATCCAGTAGGATCAACGTGAAGAGTGAATTCCCCTGGAGTTGGATCGTTATCGTTCTGCCATGCTGAAAGGTAAGCTTCATGCCCAGATAGAAAATTCTTTCCAAGCTTCATATCAGGTAAGTGCGTATCAGTTGGAAAACTGAAGCTCTGCCAAAGGAAATGATCCGGGATTCCATCATTTGCATCTCTTACAACAAGATTACCGGAACCTAAAAGCTGTGCTACTGGATTTTGGACTGATTGTGAGGTGTTAGTGGACCATATAGTTTCATTCCTGTCATTGAGAAGAGCAAGTATTCCCGGCTTGGTGACCTTCAAAACAACTGAAGATGTATTGGTGAGTGGTTTTTCTCTATTGGCAACCCATACAACTGTCTGCATATGAGGAAGAATTTGCTTGTACCATATCCCGATGTATCGCTTTGAGGAACCACTGGGGCTGAAAAATCCCATTTCAAAGGTTCCACCAGATGAAACAACAGTTTCACCATCTACAATGGAGTGATTTGTAGTTATCTGTTGTAGTAGAAATCTTGTGTATAGTAGAGAAGAAAAACAATAGAAAAAGTAGGAGGAAACTAGCTCCCATTGTTGATGTCTTGATGACTAAGCCTTTGGTCGCCTATATACTGCTTATGATTTAGACTTGAGAACCAAATTCCACGTAATCTGCTATTATGCAATCATGCAATTGGCTTCCTCATTTCGACATTTCTGAAAATTGTGTTACTTTAGTGTTGTTTCGACTACGTTATCGCCTTTAATTTGCAGATTTGAAGTTTATGATATTCTTATGGGTCGTTTGGTACGCGGACTAAACTATTATGGGATATCAAGTTTGATGGGACAAGGTGAGATAATATGGGATATCCAGGATTAAGTCTGGGACTAAGTTTATACCATGTTTGGTTGAAAATATAATTTTATCCCGAGATAAATTTATACCATCAACCAAACATGATAGTATAAATTTAGTACCATACTTTATCCCATCTTATCCCACCTTATCCTGCGTACCAAATGACCCCTTATACTCCTACTCTTCGGGAAGGTTACTTCCAACATTTGATTAATAAAAGAAATGGGACCATTTAGTGGGGAAAAGATGGAAATTTCGCAATTGTGATCTTATACTATGTGGTATTTTCTTCCTAAATTGTATTACAAGTCTATATATTGGTCAATACACCAACCCTGACTTTTGAAGAGGATTCAAGTGACAGGTCTAGTCATTTAGATTCAAGTGTGTGTGTGGGTGGCACTTTAGTTGTCAATTAGCGAAATTTTCCATGATGCAACTAGCCATTGACCGACTAAAAATATCTAATTGCGGTCCACACTCCATAGTAGTATGTAAGACTACTTTGTTCAGTAGTAACTGGGCAAGCAGAAAAGGGAATAATGTGACTCTCAGATAGCCACTAATTAATCTTGGACTGGTGACTGGAAATTATGGAGTTGGAGATAGTTTTCAACTGTGTGTTTCGATTAACTTCACTAGCTGGGTCGTAGTCCAAGCACAAGTTTAGATTGGCCCAATAAATTTTATAACAGTCGAGCTATACTTGAATTTTATAGCAAATTCATGAAATAAAAGATTAATTATTTTGAACTGAAACAAGAAGGCAACAAGCTCTCGCACCTCAGTTGGTTAGATGGCTCACTTAGTTAGGCATAGATCTTAAGTTCAACTTTCTACAAGATCATTTTATTTTTCTGTATTTCGCTTTAGTCGTATTCGTTGCACGAACGGATACAGTCGATACAGGTTGTATCCTTTATATTCACTCATGTATACAGTCGATTCAAGTTGTATCCTTTGTATACATCCTTGTATTTCGCCTTGTTTACCGTTGATACATATTGTATTCGTTGCGCGAACGAATAAAATTGCGTGACCGAATATAGATGATACATGTTGTATTCTTTGCGCGAATAAATACAGTTGACACATGCTTTTAATACAAGTTATACAAGCTAGTAACAATTAAATAGTAGCTACGAATAGTAATCAAACAAACTATAGTAACTAGGCTCTAAACTATAGTGTTATATGAAAATTATAACTAATTGTTTATGTGTGTAAAGTTTGAGTTCCGAGACATTTGGTGCATATGCTGCCGTTTAAACGTCCAGCAGACATGAGTATGCTTGTGCAATAATAACCAAAATACGTAGTTCATTTATACTTGCAAATCAAAATCGCTATTCTTTACGTAGCACCATCACTTTTCTGTTGGTTAAACTTAATTGCCCTTGGCAATTTTCGAAAACACAATCACCTTTACAGTCACTTGAAGTTAGCCCAATATTGCTCGATTTGGGCATTGCTTTTATCGGAACTTTACATAAATTGTCGGTCGAATTCATTGTTTACTTTGTTTAATCGATTATACATAACTTATATACATATTATATACGGATTATATGTATATTATACACCGCTTATTTTTAGTTTTAGAGGTTGAATGGATGACTATTTGAATTAGTTCTTCTTTCTTTTTTAACAAATATTAACATATAAGACTCCTCAACAGGGTGTTTCCGCAAACGAGATGAGCTTGAGAGAAATTTTTGAGAATTACCAATTAGGCGTTTTAATCCAAACCCAGCCCGTAATGAGGTGAGCTCAAAGTTTACAAAATAAAAAATCAGAAATAATCATATTTATAACTGGTAATTAAAAAATAAGTACAATTTCAAAAGTAATGAAATTTAGCCATTTTTTTATGTAAAGATAAAATCTGAACAAAACCACCCTTAAAAATCCAGAAAATTTCCAGCATAATATGCTGGAGTTCAACTTTTTTATATATGCAATTCCAGCATAATGTGCTGGAATTTTATAATGTGTTGGAATTCCAACACAGGAGTTCCATAATCCAACATATTATGCTGGAACTTTCCGTGTGCTGAAGTTCCAACATAATATGCTGGAAGTTTATACACAGAAACTCCATAATTCAGCATATTATGCTGGAACTTTCTGTGTTTCAGTAAAATAGTGATTATTTTTTAATAACTTTGCAAACACCGAATATTTTTCAATTATCAATCCGAAACTGGGTAGTGCATGCTATTTTCACAAGTTTACATCATTTTGGGCCCAAAGCTTCGATCTGCCTTCGTGCACTTTCTTCCTTTGGTCATTGATCTAGCTAAAATAATGTACAACTCTTTGGACAGTTTATCGTGAAAGTAATATCGACACCCAAAATAACAAAAAATAACAATTCACAATCATCTCCAGTACAGTATAGGGGTGTTTGAATAGATGAATCATTTCAAACACAACTACTAAATGAAGTACGTAACTTACCTTCTTTTTGGGGGACAGAACTACAAAACCACAACTATTTAGTTTTTTATAGGTACAATAACCCATGCTTTTAATTTCAAAAATATTATATAAAAGAACAGACTTGTTTTCAGGTCATTGGATACGACAAATCTCAAGGAATTTCTTATCTTAGTGAGTGTCACCATCTTTTGTTTAAACAATTAATCCACTTTAATATAAGTTACTGTGAGCTTAATATTTTAGTAAAAAGTTATGAGGATAGTCGTCGTTTGGCTGTTGTCATGGCCAAGGAAAGGCCTTAATCACGGATTATATTGGTGATTATTATCGTCATTAAGTGTTGACAGATTGTGCTTTCAGTATGAATTCCTTTTTTGTTGGTGTGTGTATGGGTGGGGGGGGGGGGGTGGGGGATTTTGGTTTTTTGTTTGAGGCTTTTTCTGTGTTGATCTTTCTTGCCAATATTCTTCTGACTTTACAGAAACTTAGGCACTTAAGCTTTTTTGTTCACTTTTTTTCTCGGTCATAAAGCTAATGCAACGTTGCCTTGTGCCTTTTAAAATGTGGAATTTTATCTCTACTTATTTGGCTTTCTTGGCTCCCGATTAGATTTATTTTCACCTACAATTTAAAACAAAGAGCTCTCTCTCTCTCTCTAAGATTCTTTGGGTGGTGTTCTGCTCAAATAATTTTTGTCTAAATTTTTTTTTGCTTTGCCTTAGCTAAGATGAAGATTTATTAGAAGAAAGCGGATACTGGTTTATTTATTCTGATTTCTCTTTTCCTCTTCTTTTCGAGTGGATGACAAATTAAGGATAGCTGATTATATACACAAAATTATATAATTTGGAAAATAACATAGTAATAATTATTTTAATGATTTGTTAAATTTTGACAATAAACTCAAGCCCAACATCGTGCACAATTTAAAACCAGTGAATGTACTATTTTTTCCCTACCTGCATCGCGCCACAAATTAGAGCTAACAAAGAGATCCACAATTCCCTAGAAAGACATCACGTTTTCTCATGGAAAAAAAATGATTGCTAAACTCACAGTTGGTGAAGTTTTTATCTCACAAACGCGAACACATATATGTAGCTACAAGGAAATTTTAAATTAAATTAGTTGGCATTAGGCCATGAAATGATTTTTCTTCTTAAATAATTTCGAGGGAGCTATAATTAAGTTACAGGCGCATATGGTCCAAAAATTTCATAAGAGTAAGATGATTCACACACACAAAAAAAAAGTTACCTAGTATGTCTAGAATGGATGTAATTTAATTTTCATATCAATGCAAGAGTAGAATAATTTTTAACGCATAACCAAACATAGGGATACAGTTTTGAACGGTAGTTTTCGCTAACTCAAATAGCTAACTAAAACACTTTTTAACATAAACAAGTTTTCTTTCCAGACCTCCAGCTTCATTAGGAACAAGATTAATTGCCTCAATTACAGAATTTTTAATCATAGGCAAATACAACATCTTGCTTGAGTTGACAAAAGAGTATGCTTCCATCTAGGCAACTTATTGACAGTCAAAAGGAAGGACAAAGGAAAGGAGGAGGGGGGGGGGGAGTGAGAGAATTACTTTTCTTCAATATAATTAGTTTCAAACAAAGCAATGAGAAAATGCAAAGTGACTGCAAAGTTTTATAAAAGATAGTGGCTCAAGGAAACATCTAATTCCGTTTAGTTGTTATGTCAAAGGAGTTTTAACTAACCACGACCTTAGCTTACCAAACAAAGTGTTGAGGAACAAAAGTCATGAGCTAAATATTAAATATCAAAGTCAAAATTACAACAACTGTGTAATCAACTTCTTTTTGTTTCTCTCTCTCTATATTATTAGTTCCTCGGGTCTTTCTTTCATTTTCGCGAGTTTTTAAAAAAAATCGGCAGTCTTTAGGGTGAAATTATTGTGAAATCGAAAATCTACATGATGCATAACCTATGACGAGCTAATTCTATTGATAAGAATTACTCGATCACCAACCTCTCGACTTGAAATTGAACGGGAGTTTGAAGCGAAAATTATCTTTGTGTGACATATATGTTACGTGTTTGTGCCGTGGAAGCAGCCACTAATACTTGCATTAGTTTTGGCAGTCTATATCACTTCCTTGGGCTGCGGCCCTTCCGAATACTGCGATAAACACGGAATGCCTTGTGAACCGAGTTGCCCTTTTATCTTGACTTGAAGCTAATTAGCGATATTGGGAATTGATCACGCCCAACTATGCCTTATAAAAAGGACTAAGCGGTTGTTGCAAATGTAATCCGGTTTACAAGTCCAGAGTCGAATCCCACAAAGAAGTAAGGCTTAGCTACAGTTGTTGACTATCACTAAGAAGATAAGCTCGAACAATTTCTAAATTATAAATATTAAGATTCATATATCTAATTA